TTTGGACGTTCTTGTCCAGAGGTCAGAAGGTCGGCTGGGCACCTCAGTCTACCGGAAGGCGACCGCATCAAACGTGTACCTGAAGTACAACTCGAGCCACCCCGCGGCCATGAAAGCTGGTCTAATAAGATGCATGGAAGCCAGAGCAAGACGGGTCTGCAGCGACATGTCAAGTGTGAAGGAGGAGAAGAGCAAGATACGGGATGTGTTCGTAGCCAATGGCTATCCGGAGCCGTTTATCAAGAGGGCTATGAGACGCCGTGACGCCAGCCAGACCGTACAGGGGGAAGCCGCCGCCAGAGACCAAGAAGCCTATGCGGCAGTGCCCTACGTCCCAGGTCTCAGCGAAAGGATAGCCAAGGTTCTCAGGCCACACAGAATCAAGGTAGCTCACAAATCCAAGCGATTGAGGGGTCACCTGGTTAACGTCAAAGATCCCGTGGAGCAGAGCAAGAAGAAAGGGGCCGTATATGAGATAAAGTGCTCGTGCGGCTCCAGCTATATCGGAGAGTCAGGGCGACCAAAACAGGACAGATTGAAGGAGCACACCGCCGATATCAAGCACGGACGCTGCGATACGTCAGCGACGGCCAGACACTTTTGTACCTGTGGCGGTGACTTGAACCCGTTCGAGGCGAGAACCCTAGCCATCGAACGCCACTGGAAAAAACGTAAAATCAGGGAGGCCATCGAGATCCGACAGCTGCGCCCGTCAATGAATCTCGACAGCGGTGGCGTCCAGCTGAGCCCAATATGGGACATTGTGCTAAAAAAATAGTGGTTGGCACGCTGAACGAACACGCGAGGGGGGGGGTCACCTTGTGTAAGTGTGACTTACCTGTAACTGAAGTGACGCTCTTTTTATTAAATTAGCGCTGATTGTCTAAATATTTAATTAAAATTCCGTGATAGACAGTGATATTGTATAAGTTCTTAGGAAGGCGGTATCGTATAGGTTATTTTATCTGCACTGGAGGACCCAGCTCCACCGATTGCATGGGAATTGTGTTATTTTGTTGTGCTTAACAAAGCTCGCACTGTGCATCACTCGCATTGAAAAAGGTACCACTACGAGTATCGAAATATTTGCTATCAATTTTTCAATATATATCACTCAAGAAACTCCGAAAATATTATTTCATATCATGTAACCTCCATGTCATGGTCTTAGCTTTGAACCTGGTTCTTTGTGTCCTGATCAGCTCATACAGCCGTCAGCAGCAGAATCGGCGCATGGTGTGCAGATGGTATACCTAACAAAAAAAAACTCAGCTTCTGCTACAGACTATTGTCTGCCATGGTGGTAATGAATGGCCTGTTGAGGCGCACCAGCTGTAAAATCTAATAATCTATTCCACTTTTCTCCTCGAAGGTGAATTACAATACTATAGAAACACATACTCACAAAGGTCACAGATGGGCCCAAAAGGCACAGATGCTCACATATGGTGCAGTCTCCGAAAACTTGATCGGGAATTTTTTTAACCCGCGCCCCGTAGGGCTATCGGCGGACCCTACCACCCGTAGGGGGTGGGGCCGTTTCGCCCCCCCCCCCCCCCCTAAGATCTCGGAAATTTACCGGCCGATTTTGAAAATTCAAACGGCATCAATAGCCCCACCGCGGAACTACCTTGTGACCAAATTTCATTGGCCTAGGTCAAACCGATGACGTCACAGGTCAGGTCAAGGGTCGGATTTTCACCGTTCACAGACATTTCAAGAAATGTGTTGTGAAATCGAGTAAATTGGTAAGTTATTGAAAACCATCGGTGGTACATTGTTCGTCAAACACATACTTTGCTATCTGAGGTCACTGATACCAGCTCAGGTCATAGAGGTCAGATCATTGGGGGTCACAACATGAAAGTGTCGTGTGATACATGTTTTATGGTCCATTTTACATGACAAATGCGATTATATGGGTCAGGCAGCCTTTGGGGCCAGCTTAGGTTACGTTCTGGTGAAGGTCAGGTCAAGGTCAGGTCAAAATAGGTCAAAATTTTAAGTTGATATTTTTGCATAAAATGGGAACCGATTCGATGCAGCCCGTCACGGGGAGTCTAATGGTGGTCTTTGTTTGGTCCTACGTGGTCTAGAATTGCCAAAAATTGAGTTTGAAAATTTGACGTCATCATTTTTGAACAGTTCTTTCGCTATAATTTGGCCAAACAAAAAGAGATATCGATCTGAAATTTGGTATGTAGATAGAAGATGGTAGGTACTATCATATATATTCCGTTTTTTTTTTCGAAACTAAAAAATGGATTTTTTTGGCTAGTATATCCAAAAAAAGATACTTTTTTATTTTTGGGTATCAAAATTCAAAAATTTCAAAAATACGAGACAGCAGTTTTGTAGCCCTAGTAATTCTACACCTTTTATGTCGGATCATTTTTCTGCATCTTCAAAGCTGTATGCCTGACAGCTCTTCTCGCGAAGCTCTTTTTTCGGTCGAAAATGGCTGAACATGACATCATTCTGACATCATTTGTGGCCAACCTATCATAGCCTCTGGAAAAAAGTTGGTCACAATGTGTAAAATTTATGCTCAGAGAGGCCCTGAAAGTTTGGTGGCGATATCTGCAGCCGCTTAGGAGATATCGACGGAAAAGGCCAGGGGCGTTTCGCCTCCCCCCCCCCTCCTACGGGGCGCGGGTTAACAGCAGGAGTGGCAACTATTTCACCTTCTGTCGCCTTTTTGCATCCCAAATAAAAATGCGTGAATGATGCAGCAAATGTTTCCCCCAGCTGCAACCTACAGCTTAGGTTCCAACCGATAGTTATTTTAAAACTACATATTTTTGGACGATTCAGTGTCGTCAAGTAAAATAATAACCCTAAAACTTTACAAATGATAAGCTGTTTAGGAGAAAAATAGCGTTTTGGATTGGCTGGTATTAGTTTCGCGTTTTTTATGCGTGTATGTGTGTATAGCATATCGTTCCATCGTTTCGTTATTCGTCTGTTATTGTATCCAATTGGTATGCCCTTAGCATGACTCGTGTCTTTTTTTATAGATACCGGTTATCTTGGCTTCATTGATCATGGTTTTCTACGCAGGCGTTAGCTACAGCAAGTGCCAACACATCCGATACCGAACGCTGGATGCCCAAGGACATACATCCGAAAGCATGTCGTTGAACTCGCCTGGGACTCAGTCTTGTTCCAAGGATAGCAACAGCCGTGCATCTAAGCCATGGTCAATATTCCGTCAGGCAATGATGCAGTAAGAAGTTTACTGTAGGTATTCCACGCGGCAGGTAATGGCTTTGTGTCCATATTTTCAGGACCAGTTTCCCAGCGCCGTCCGTGTGCGCTACTCAGACAGGCCAGCTGCCAGTGGCATACCAATGAGAATAATGGGCACCGTGTCTGGCCACCAGACAGAGACGTGCATTTGGCCGTACCCGGGCCGTATCGGGGCCGTACCCGTGTCGTCCCCGTGCCGTGCTTAGGCCGTGCACATACCTTGCCATTGGGTCGTATTCAGAACGGCATGGGGGCCGTACTCAGGTCGTAAATAATCGGGTTCGGCTACATAATAGCCGTTTTCACGACGGCCATCTGGTACACATTTGGTGCACATTTGGTGTACATTTGGTGCACATTTGGTGCAGATTTGGTCAAATTAGGTTCAGTGTATCTCTTAGAAGCTATCAGCCTGGGTTTCACTTATTGCTTATATGCCTCCTTTGTCATATCATCAGAGAGTGTCATCGATTAAAACACTGAAATAAATTCATAAAATGAGGATATTTGCTGAAAAAGAGATAAGGTGCAGATTTGGTCAATTTAGGTGCATTCGCTGGATAGCCCGTCGTGAAAACGGCTAATATCCTCGGTCTGAATTAAAGTTGTGATATAGACCGCACCTTTACTGTAAATTATACGTGTATGTACAACCTTCTGCCGTATTACCGCTATAAACACGTAAGTGCTAACATATTACCGTGCTCTTGCCAAGTGCCTTACATATGCCGTACTCTGAGTCGTATACCTACCCACACCCGAGCTGTTCTTATAGGGCGTACCCAGATTGTATTTACTCTAGGCCTCCTACATTTTTGCTTTGAGCCCGACCTGGCCGTAGTCAGGCTACACATATACTATGTCTTGCTTTAGCCGTCTTACCTTACATAGCCTATTCAGAGCCGTACCCCAACTAAATCTAATCGGCGACAAAGCGACAAACCAACAACGGCCGTATCCGCCCACCCAGCGAGGGTGCCACGGAGCGAGGGCGGTGAAAATACATACGTAGAACGTTGTGAAGCGGGCCAGCGCTGACCCGGCCACCCCGCCTCTCGTTAGCGCGCTCTGTGTGTCCCCTGCAGTGAGCACACGCCCAGACAGACGCTGTTTGTTTTAGCTGCGGCGACAGGCGACCCAGACTACCCCGCCGCTGATTTGTGGTCCGTTTTCTCCTCACGATAGTACGCTCAGGATGAGGGTGTAAAGATAGACGTGTAAATAAACACAGGGATGATGTGTTTTCGTGCTCCTTTTGGCGATTCAAACATGCCAGCCGCCACATGTGATCAGTGCAGCTATTTATTCGTTCAAAACAACTTCGGATTTGATAACCCTGCAATCCAAGCCAGGAGTCCTAAAACTGTTTCACAAATATTATGTGAACCCAGGTCAAAGGTGAAGCCAGCGCCTCAGAGCGCACTGCACATTAGGTGTATGTAAACTGCGGAGGGAATTTGCATCGGATAGCATCGCATATCACATACAAACTTTGCCGAAGTTGCTGTCAACCTGCTTGATTCGGATATTTTGACTGATGACGCTTGCACGTATGTTGATCAAAGAACATGTCAGTTTGCGAAGCTTTTTTGTACTTAGATAGTACGCTTTTAAGACATTAAATATCTATTTTCACACATCAAAAGCATTCTCCATTACACTACAAAAAAAAGCATAAGACTGGGCATGAAATCACACGCAGATCAAGGACAACTGCCATTTTTATCGACAAATTAATTAAAGAATCTTACCCCTGCGGATGTGCTTTTGCACATTCTGGCGTGTGTAGTAGCGTCAGATTCCTGGAGATCACTGATGTTTGCATACGAGCCGGGAAGGTCAACAGAGCCACCCTGCCAGCCCTGGCGGTCACAGGTCAAAGGTCAGCTACATTTCTATATAAAGTAACTACCCAAAAACTAGATTTCGTAGTTCAACAGTGATAAAATAAACTATGCACTAAATTATGCGTTCCAATTGTCAGCAGTGACCACTGACCTCATGAATTCAGCGGCCCATGTAATACGAAACATGATATGCTTCATCACATCGTTTGCTTGTTTAGGAGCGGCGGCCTTGCTCATAACGACAACTTCATCTCATGTGCAATAAACGACTCTTGAGCTGCGTTATTGTTATTACAAATCTTAGCTCATATGAACTAGCCGGCGCAGACCGCCGTCGGTAGGCGCTACAGCTCATTCTAGGCAAACGAATGAAATAACTTCGAGAGCTGCTTCCACCACCATATCCATCCACGCAGGGAAAGCGCTGACGATGTGCATTTAAAACACAACAAATAAACAGCATAGAGATAGGTTGGAAGGCAGCCTTCAATGAGGCTTTTTGTTCAAAGCCTTTTGCTTTTCGCTTCGAGAACTACAACAATTTTCTTAACGTATCTGGTTACCAAATGCTGTCCCCAGGGATGCCCACGGAAAAACAACACAAGATGCTGCTGAACTCACCTGAGCCCCAGTCCGAGCCAGAATATCAACCGCCGCCGTGATCAGCACCCAGTAGGTGAAATTGTTGCCGAATCCGAGAATCCTGCAAACCGTACAGGGGCTAGTGATGGCCGGATCTATGACGTCATGAGTTAAGCGTTAAATAAAGGCGGTAATAAAAATATGCTGAAGCTAGACATTCTGTGTGTAAAGCCTTAATTACATAAAAATAGTGAGGATAAATATTCATTGTTTTGCTCATCAGTTCCATGACTCAAAAAATTACGCAAACACATCAGCTTGTATCCTCGATTTCTTTTCCTCGAAATGAATCACATAGCTCAAATGAAAAAGCAGTACAAACCTTACCAGTAGCTTATCAGATTGCGTCCTTTATTGACAGCTTTACTGTTTGTGAATCCTTGAACAAGGGAAGGTGTGTCATTACGGTCATAAGGCATATCGTGAATTTGCATCAGTTAGGTGAGGCATATTCGTTACACTGTGACACGTAACCTATCCCACTCTTCGCCAATTCGTGATCGTCTTGGTGCAGTATTCTATTTGTTCATCTGCAAATGCAAAGCCCAAGTTGTCGGTTGTTAAGAAGTTGCGAGAATGTTGGAACTTGAGTTTGAAACCTTCTGCAACTAATTGACTGTGTCCGCCAACGCTTTGAGAACAACGCAACTAAGTTTGTAACGGTAGCGACAACCATAATTACCGCCTTCATTTGTAAATTAGAAGCCGGGCGGATGGTTGCATATTGCATGTGCACAATAGATACAATTGTCAGGTGCTTATCGGAGTTCATCGACTAAATAGAACCGAAAACGTTTTGGCTATAAATCTCAACATGAGGTATGCACCTAATACCAATTATGATAATTGTTTGGCATCTCTAACTGGAAACGTATAGCTGTCTAGCACACACTACATATGTGCCGCCGCGACTATCGCAGAATCCTTACTTGCGAGGCATCCCTGTTCTTCTTTGATCGGCTGCCCGGTCAGAGGCGCCAGTGCGGCCGCTCTCTCAGAGTCCTGCTCGGCCGCCGGGTGACCCATTTCTGCAAACAGAGGTGCAATACAGTCGGCAATTATCATTATAAGTATGTGAGATGCCCTGAGATAAGTTTTGAAAATATAGGAAACGAAGAATGAAAAGCATGGAAGAAATCATTCTAGAGGGAAATAAACGATCGAACAGTTCTTATCATCAACGAATGATATCTCAATTGTCTATGTCGCTAACAGCACGGTTATCGAACGACATTCCCATGCATTGCTTTTTTATTTTTGTGTAACGTTTCCGCTAACTTTTTCGCTTTCTATGAAGGAGGCCGCAGAATGTGAACAAATGGAAGCACAATCCTGGAACTGCATTTGCTTTATGTAAGATCACCGGGCATACGACGCGTGACAGTGTGGCCAGTGTTGCAAATGTAAAAATGTGTGACTGTTTTGGATTTTTGAAGAAAAAAACGCTAAAAATCATAAGTCTTCTTCGTTTTACTTTGAAAGCACAAGACTCTGTTTTACCACCACGGTTTTCCGGCAGCAGCATCCTGTTCTCTAACACACCGCCTGATGCAATGCTCCCCGTTCATTGTAACACCACCAGTTCCATTACCATAAATGACCGGGGCACTTACCCTCAGGGCGCGGACTACATGAGTCCATGCTGCCTCCGTCATCCCCCGGATAAAGTCCGGCTCACCTGTGCGGATTAGGGGGAACAGCCGACGGCCCGGTCCGTGGCAGGGGATCACGGGCCGTGATCGAGGGGATCACAGACCGAGATCGAGGGATCAGCAGTTAAATCTGGCCGTTCGGTGCGTAACGACCAGAGGAACAGCGGCCCGGCAAATCCACTACATCCCCGAGGCATATTTTGGTCTTTGGCAGGGTGTGGTGAGGGCTTAGTGACGTGCGTTGTTTTTTGTGTGATGAGAATTGTATTAAGACCTGAGACAAGACCCTTATATGATTCTCGTCATGCACAGAAATTCAAACACGAGCTCGTTTGGCCTTGATATTTAACATTTCATTGATTAGCTGTATGTATGGAATGTAACATAAGAGGTACGTGCGAAGTCAGACATCTCTGAGGATTACCAATACTAAAAACATCCTATGTTTCGGCAGCTTGGCTTAAAACACTGTAGTAAATATACTCTTTAAACTAGCAACTTAATTTTACCTTGAATTTGATGATTATACTGCATAGTTAAAAGTTAATAGCATATTTTATAGCAAAACACATAACAAACTTTACCTATAGAGGCAAACCACAAACCGGAAAACTCTGACCAAAACGGATCAATACTAATAGCCAGCACAAGAAGGTCTTAGCGATGTGTCTGAGAAGCTATCTCCGGCAGATGAAAAAGATTCCCTTGAGCATTGCATATATTTCAGCCTGGTGATTTATTGACGCTACAAATGTGTCACAGGTGTGGCGCTGTGACCAGATAATTCCCAATTTTACAACGAGCTTTGGTTCAGACGATATATCACCTCTGCTTGATTAGATTGCTTGAACAGCAATTTTAGGCTGAATAGAACAATGTCATCAGTATAATGAAGGCATAACTTTATGTCGGCTCACATTATCCGCGCAATTGCTGTATTTTGTGGTTCTTGACTTGCAAATATGTTGTGAAATGATGTTGGTCCCATGCATTATGGTGGATTTCAAGGGCACGTGAAGGTCAGGTCAGATCACTGACCCGTGATGATCTTGGTCCACTTTTTCGAGTTTTTCATGTTCCTAGGCTAGTTTTTTAGCAGAATTCGAATTTAGCAACCACTTGAACATTTACGAAGTAGCCCGCGCCCCGTAGGGCTATCGGCGGACCCTACCACCCGTAGGGGGAGCCGTTTCGCCCCCCCCCCCCCTAAGATCTCGGAAATTTACCGGCCGATTTTCAAAGTTCAAACGGCGTTCGATAGCCCCACCGGGAAACTACCTTGTGACAAAATTTTATTGACCTAGGTCAAACCGATGACGTCACAGGTCAGGTCAAAGGTCGGATTTTCGCCGTTCAGAGACATTTCAAGAAATGTGTTGTGAAGTCGAGTAAATTGGTAATTTAATGAAAACCATCGATGGTACATTGTTCGTCAAACACATACTTTGCTATCTTAGGTCACTGATACCAGGTCAGGTTACAGCGAGGTCAGGTCACCGGGGTTCACAATATGAAAGTGTCGCGTGATGCATCTTTTATGGTCCATTTTACATGACAAATGCGATTATGCGGGCTAGGCAGCCTTTGGGGCCAGCCTATGTCACGTTTTGGTGAGGGTCAGGTCAAGGTCAGGTCAAATTAGGTCAAATTTCAAAGTTGATATTTTAGCATTAAATGAGTATCGATTCGATGCAGCTCGTCACGGGGAGTCTAATGGTGGTCTTTTTTTTGCTCTACGAGGTCTAGAATTGCCAAAAATTGAGTTTGAAAATTTGACGTCAAAATTTTTGAACAGTTTTTTTCGCTATAACTTGGCCAAAAAAAACGAGTTATTGTTCTGAAATTTGGTATGTAGATAGAAGACGGTAGGTACTATCACATATATTCCGTTTTTTTTTTTTTTGAAACTCAAAAACTTTGTGGATTTTTTGGCTAATATTTCCAAAAAAAATGTTTTTTTTTGGGGGGTCAAAACTCAAAAATTTCAAACATCCAAGACAGCCGTTTTGTAGCCCTGTCAATTCTACGCCTTTTCTGTATTGATCATTTTTCTGTAGCTTCAAAGCTGTTGGCCTGATAGGTCTTCTCGCGAAGGTCTTTTCCTCGTCCTCTCAATTCCACATCAGCACTTGCGTGTGCATTTGCCCATAACTTCATTGGCTCAATGTTGATGTAAGCGGATCCAATCACTAAGTGCCCAATTGAGACGGGTCGTACGTTTCCACTACTCTACAGGACACAAAATAGAAGCGGATGTTTTGAGGACCACGAAAGAAACGAACGTGTTGGCTAGTGGTGATAAATTTTCATTGGGTCCATCTTAGTATACGGATAGACATATGTAACCTTTGTATCATGTATCATGTATCATGTATCATGTATTACAACAATCACGAATGCCGGTTGGCCCTGGTGATGTTAAATCTGGTTCACACATCATACACACATCAGTATCGCACATACACACAAGTACATACACACAAGTACATACCTACTCACATTACTACTGATTTTAGATTGATTCATTCTGCATTACTCATGAGCATTGAGCAATTTCAATTACAATCACGTTTGCGCCGAATTTACATGTGTTTGAACGTTTTTCCGAAAATCTTCCACAGATTCGGCTTCCATCATGCTGGGCAAAAGTTGGTTCCACTCTCTTATGGTTTTTGGGAAAAACGAGTTATGGTACTGAAGTAATCTCGACGGAAGTCTCTCTATCTTTTTAGGGTGATCACTCCGTGATATATAGCTAGGTTCACATATAATTCTACTAACATCTACTTTCATGTTGCCATGGTGTAATTTGTACAGTAAGCATAATCTCGCCTCTCTACGTCGGCTTTCTAGGGATACCCATCCTATTGTGGCCAGCATGTCAGTAACACTGCTATGTCGGTCGTAGTCATTAAGTATAAATCTAGCAGCACGCCTTTGAACCATTTCCAGCTCATGCTTCATGCCCTCTCCCCATGGGTCCCAAACAGAGCTGGCACAGTCTAGATGTGGCCTAACAAGGGACAAATACATGATTTCCTTTACAGCCTGTGGGCAATCCTTGAAATTTCGCTTAATAAATCGTAGCATCTGATTCGCTTTACCAGTGACATGTTGTACATGATTTTGCCAGGTACATTTATTCGAAATATGCACGCCTAAATATTTGAACTCATTGACAACCTGAACTTCTATTCCATTCAAATAGTATCTAGGCATTGCAGCAAGTTTTTGCTTTGTCATTCTCATGATAGCACACTTTCCAACATTAATAGACATTTTCCATTTGGAACACCATTGAGATAGTCTATTTATATTTGCCTGTAACGAAAAACTACATTCTTCATTGCTTAAGATGTCTGTGTAAAGAACAACATCATCTGCATATAATTTTATCTGACAATTAATCATATCCGGAAGATCGTTAATATATAAAAGAAATAATATTGGACCCAATACACTCCCTTGTGGGACACCGGACGTAACTCTAATCACATCAGAATAACAATTATTAACCAGAACTCTCTGCGTTCTATTATATAAGAAGGCTTCAATCCAGCCAAGAACGTTATCATCTAAATTATACATTTTTAGTTTAGTTAAGAGATGTTTATGTGGAACCCTATCAAACGCCTTACTGAAGTCAATGAATGCCAAATCAACACTCTTTTTCTTGTCAATGGATGACATAATATCCTGATAAAGCAGTAACAGTTGTGACTCACAAGAAAGATGTCTTCTGAATCCATGCTGACTATCAGAGAATAGGTCAAAATCATCTAGGTGCATCACAATATGGGAAACTAAAATACGCTCCATCATTTTACAACATATACATGTGAGCGAAATTGGACGATAATTTACAGGTTCTTTGGTACTGCCCCCTTTGAAAGCTGGGTGCACTGTGGCTTGACGCCAATCGTGAGGAATGTCTTTCATATCAAGAGACTGTTCGAAAATCATTTTGAGGTACATTGCGACCACTTCTGCGCAATGTTTTAGAATAGCCCCGCTAATGCCATCAGGGCCACACGCTTTGTGGACCTTAATATTTTGTAAGAGGCCTACGACGCCATGATAACTAATAAGAACCGGCGGCATAACCTCCGACGTGCGAGTGCAATCGCTCAATGATGTTGTATCTGTATCATCTTCACTGAAAACAAGTTGAAAGAACGTTATGCAAAAGCATCTTAAAATATTCCACACTTAGGTTTTTTGGGTATTACGGTAAACTGGCTTAGAGGCGAAGCAGAACGTCTGGTTCATGAAGAACACACACAGTGTTTCACATAAACCGAAGACACGTGCTGCTTCTTCGCGTGCAGTCTTAGTGGCCCCAGGGGGCTTTAACTCGACCAACACCGGTTCTTCTT